TCTAGAAGATATCAAACTTATATTAGTTCCAAGAAAGAATACCAACCAAAATCTAATCAAAGCACCAGAAGTTAATAAGAACAATAAACTAGATAAGTAAAACAAGACCGAGAACGTAATACTTCTTATCCTCAGTTTGTGTACCTGAAATCCAGTAAGATCCTCGAATTGCTTCATCCAACTTTCGACCAATAGCATCATCAGTACCCGTCGGCTGCTCCTTTGATGACAAGGACTCCTATGTTCCTAACAGTGTAACGAAGAAAAAAGAACCAAAGCAGGAACCTAACAAACCTTGAAACACACAAGTAAAACATAACCAAAGGGAGAGAGAAGTTCAGAATGCTTTGTTTTATTGTTCTCCTATGAAAAAATGATCGGGTTAAAGGCAATTCATTTCAGGGAGCTTCAAGCTTGCCCGACCAATGGATTTAGAGTTAAATCAAATATCTAGAGTGGATTCGTCTCGAATCCTAGCAGCCCCAATTTGTATTTAACACATACTACTATCTGTTACCAAGACAAGGTAATGTCCACCACGTTATATTGCTACATCCCTAATACACTTGATAAAAATTAGTAGGTAAACGCAACAAATCTCAATCTTAATGATATCTACACTGAGTCGGATTCGTAGGCTAAACAGTCAACTTCTAGACGAATGTGTCCCGGTTTCCCATCCATCCGGTTCTCCTTACAACTGCTTGGTACTCGGTAAGCTTACCACCCGGATCACCATTTCCCTTGAAACTCATGTAGAAAATGGCATTGTTGGCTTTCAGCTTCATACGTGGCGACTCTTCTCCACTTTCTTTAGTTTGTATAATCACCTTGTTAATATCCAGTGGTAGAAATGACTTCAACCTCTTCTGCGAAAACACATTTGAACAATGAGGTCACCGAAAAATACCCATCAGTGTTTACCATGAAGCCACTGGAGCAAATAAAGAACCTACCCCATCATATGCAACCCAGTCCGAGCGAAAGGCAAACTCCGCACACAAATGAAACCACTCATTTTCTTGCAAGTCAGATTGCTGCAACTGTGATTCAAAACATTCCAGTAATCAGATATCATAAACCAAAACCCAACAAATTAACCAGATGAAGCAAATCCAAACACATACCTCGTAAAATTGTCCATTAATTCCCGAAGCAGCCATTCTATCTTCTGTCAACCAGTTGGGCAATTTACCTTTGTAAAAATCATCGATCGCGTTGTCTTCCCATCCCCTCTCAGGCCCAACAGGAGTAGCACGAGGACCATTAGGAACTGATAAGAAGAAGTTGCAACCGTTAAACAAAAAAAAAATGTAAAACAGGGCAATAAATCTCAGAACAGTTACCTTTTAATCTGGAAAGTTCGGTATGCACACATAAGGATGCCTCTTGTGAGAATAAAGATTTGCCAACACAAGTCTGGAAACTGCAAGGAGAGTTGTTGGAAGTGTCCATGGCCTCCAATGTTAAGTAATGCACGTAAGTCATACCAAACGTCTCATGGTTGCATATGTTTATACCAATCAATCCGAGGCTGGCTCCCTAAAAGACAAAAAACGCAGATGAAGAATGACATGTAAAACAAAAGCAATCAAGTCCAAGTCTACCACCACTTTGAAGAATGAATATTGTTCACCTTCTGAAGATTGTAACAGTGAAGTCCCAATCTAGCAAAAAGGCCTAAGTCGAATGGATAATCGTACTTATCTTTGAATATGCGGGGAATTATTCCACCATCCGGAAGACGAAAGTAATCAACTTCGAAACCCTGTCACAATTGGAAACTAACCAATATGAGTCTAAGACCAAATTCAGGACAAACGATTATGCAGACAAATAGCTTAACCAAACAAAAAGAGATTAAGCCCCGGGCAGTGACGGATAGTCCTATTACAAACAATACCCCCGTGTTGAAATTAAATAAATCATAACAAAGAAAACTTGTCTTGATCCTAAACTACTTGTAATTTTCGAGTGAGGTTAATGGAAAGCTATGGTGTGAGTTTTCTGCAAACTACTTTTAATCTCAAGTCATCACAAGAGCTCACAGAAAACACAAATTTGAACCATTTAGACCCCAAAAAAAAAGAGCACTTAATAATTATCAAATCAAACTATCTAACCTGTAATCGCAAGTAGAACCCATCCTAAGTTTTAGTGGTTCCAAGAAAAACTACCAAGCAAAAACAAATCACGTGAAATTGAAAAGTAACAAAAAAAAAAATTTGAAAGAGAGATTACGTCGGACTCGAGAACTTGTCGGTCATATTTCCTCCTCCATGTCTTCATCAGATGAAGCAATGTTTTTTTTTGTTTTTTTGAATGCAATGATTGATAATTAGTAATGACACTACCGA